CGATGAAACTAACATGGGCAAATTTATGTCCAAAACTGCACCATTCCTTTTCGATCAGTACGGCAAATCCTTCGATTGTTCGATAGTATGAATCGAGTTCTAGCATCGCCAGCGATGTCAACTAAACAGTAAAATACATGAGTTAGCAAAAACTATAAAGTTTGTCCAAAACTTAGACAAAAAAAAAGACAAATTTGAACTAAATTTATCAAGTATTACATTTTCAATGAGGAAAATGGGATATCATTTTTTTTAAAATTGCCAAAATTATCTTAAAAAAAATTTTTTTTCAAAAAATTCATCAAAAATTTCTCAGCGACAGCATCAAATTTGTCGAATTCTCTGATAATATCATGCAATATGGCTCACCAAAAGATAAAAAGTACTACATATTTTTCAAAAAAGGCAAAATCTTACATGTTTTTTTTCCCTTATTTTATTAAGCGAGCAAAAATTTTTCGCAAGTTTTTTTAAAAAAAAAAAGATTCAATTCATACCTGCGCTGTTCTATCCCATCCATCGCTACAGTGCACAAGCACAGATGCTTTGTTATCCTCCACTTCACGAGCAATTTGTGTCGCACCATCGAGGATTGTCTAAAAACAAAGCACCCATGAAAGTCCTGGCCTATCCATGGCTCCGAGAAGAGGAAGAAAACGAAGAAACGAAGGAAAAAGAAGAAAAAGATGTAAATCAGGGCTTTTTTACGACAAAAAAAAGGGGTGAGGATGAAGAAAAGGAGGAGGAGAAGTAGAGAAGAGGGGAAAGGCACGTCATTCTGACAAAGGAATAAAACGTATGGGGAAAAAAAAGTAAGCTGAATCAATGGTATAGATTTTGATAAAAAAAGAACGAGTAATTTGATCAAATAATATAAAATTTAGCTACTACAGTGCAAAGTCTTACTAAATAAATGGTACTTGGGAGGAAATGGTAAATTCGCAAAACGATAAATGAAGAGAAAACACTGAAAAAAACGCTAAATATAACTATATTCTAGTAAAAACAGTGAAAAAGAAGCACATTTGAGATACTTTAATGTTGGGCATAGAAAAACGGTTTACAAAAAAAAAAACAAGCCTTTTTTCCCTCAATCTCATTAAAATATTAAAATATTTACCTCATTAAAGCATTACCTGTATGTGATTTAACCATTTTGTTTCATCCAATAATCGAAGCCAATTTTTCTCATCTACACGTGGATATGCGACATCTTTTAATTTCCGTAACCTAAGCTATTTTAAAAAACATAAGTAAAAAAAAGTTGAATCACAGCATGAGGAAAACATGGTCCATAGATGTTATTTTAAGAAACATAAGTAAAAAAATATGATTATTTTCGAAACAATTCACTCTACCTTGCAAACTTTATGAAGAAAAAACTGAATTATTTACCATTTTGAAGTAAAATTTTCTGAATTTTCAGGAAAAGTAAAATATTTTTCACGAAAAAAATAAACCCAAACAACTCAAACAAAAAACTTCTGCAGCTATTCTAAAAACTGATATATGCTTTAAAATTAAGCCCTGAAGTAATACTTTTTTTTCGAATGCCTCCTCGAGATTTGAGGGATGGATGAAAGCACCATGTTGTCTCGAGATTTGAAGGATAGATGAAGGTAACAAGTGGTCCGAAAAAACAGGCATTCAAGATAAAAAAAACGTACGATTCACGTACTACATGGATATTCTGTATATCCAAAAATATCAATCGACAATTGGCGTATGAATCCTCGAAACCACCTCCTTTTGCCTAGAAGCGAATAAAACAGTGTTAAATAACAATATAAACAGTAAACCGCAAATCTACTATGACGCAAACCCCTGTCCCTGTTTCAAACTTTGGACACTTTACACTCGTTAAACTTTCGACATCTTAGTAATCTCTGATCCCTGGGGTATAAAAGCACTCCTCCCCATCGCCAGGACCAAAACTCATGACCACTCTCGGTCTATCTATTTAGCTTTTATTCCTGCTCTGGGGAGCTTCAGCTCCCCACAACCTCACCGCCTTTTTGTGTATTATCTTTTAATATTCGGTGTAGTTATAAATATGACTAGGCGTCTTGTACACACACACACACACACACAC